CCCGCAGACGGCACAGCCTTAAGACTCGCCGCGCGCGCCAGCCCCAAAGCTACTGAGCCGGGGCACGCGCCTCCCGGGAGAGTCGCCCTGCGCGACAGCCACGCCCACTTGGCTTTGATCAATCGGGACGCGGCACCTGCTGTACCCCAGCCAATCGGAGCCAGTCCTAATTTGCATACCATCCTCAATGTTTCAAGTGTCCCTTATGCAAATACACGCCTGGTCCTTCCACGGAGGCGGGGCCTGCATGCAAATGATGGGGGCACACAAGAAGAGGAAACTGGTTCTGGGAATCCCTTTGCAGCAATCGTTTGTTTTGGTTATTGCGCGGGGTTGGTGGTAGTGGTGCTGGTGGGGTGTGTATGTGTGTACAGTTAATAAAATAACTGCGCAGCCTCCTTTTCTAGGAAGCAGGTTTGCCGCTGCCGCTGCCTCTGCCTCTGCCTTGAGATTAGTACGGAGATAATGCTAGGCCGACTTTAAGATTCCCAACCCGGGGAAAACCAGAGCTAGGGTCCTCCAGGCCAATGTCGGCCCTCACCGCGAAAGTGAAATCTCTCCCCTGGAACCTGTCCAGTCCTCGGGGAGGAGTAACACCCTTGACCACCACCACGGGGGGCACGCCAAAGGCTGAGTTCTGGCTCCCAGAGTCAGTGGTCTGTGGTGTTTTGGCAGCCTTTTAACTTAAACAGCCTTAGCCAGACTTAGGTGCTGGCCCAGTTGGCTAGTCTAGAATCTACAGCAGGGGGTGCTCTTGGTGGGGAGGGAGCTATGCTTCAGCATCAGGGAGAGGGGGCACTGAGAGCTTGGTAGAGCCTGCCACAAGTAAACAGCCTTAGGTGCTGATTTCTGAGATTTTCCTCAGGCAGACACTTCACAGAAACTCCATGAGATATTTACACACACGCATTCATGTGAACTTGTCCCGGTCACACATGCAGACTCTGTCAAGAAAGATATGCCACAGAAACCACAGAAATACAGTTAGAGACAGGAACTCCAGAGATTCACATAGACCTACACTGCCATGTGATGGACATAGAAATGTCCTGCCGGAGACAGTAGCAAACTTGTCACACACTAGCACCATCAGATACTGTCACAGAGAGCTTGTACTGTCCCAGAAATGAGGGACCCAGAGTCTCTCACAAGAACATACACAGATGCTCCAGAGACACACATGAATTGCCCAAAGGTAGGCATGAAGTGAAGTGAGATAACTCAATAGGGATTGTCACCAAGTGGACATGGATAGACCTGGTCACACACACCCTCAGACATACAGCTTTGTCCCTGACACTGCCTAGAATCTGTCACAGAAATGCAATCAGACATCAATCCCAATCACACAGAAACCACAGATGCACTGTCACAGACAGATCCACACAGACATGCATTTGTCTCCAACACCAACTGTCAGTCCCACACTCAATCACCATCTGACATACCTGGAAAGAAGCCCCTGTCACAAACGTGCCTGGAGACACTGAGATACACATGAAAACTTTGGCTCATCAAAGTCACACACTCGGACAACATTCAAAAAGCAAACATACACGTATTCTCCCTATTCATCCAGCATTACCATCCGCCTACTCGGCCTAGTGAAAGTACACATTTTTTTTTTTTTTTGGTACGGGGATCAAACTCAGGTCTTTGCACTTGCAAGGCAGGTGGCGGAACCACTGAGTTAAATCACTGGCCCCGAAAGTACACATCTTACAGAGAAGTCAAATATCACATCTCTGCCCAAGAAGCTTATTGTACAGTTATTGGGATATTTGTAGATAGAAGTGAAAATGTGAATGGGATCATACAGGGCACCTGATGACTCTGTCTTGAAAGACAAATAAGGTTGGTGGCCGAGGGCAGGGGAAGGGCATATTGCAGGAAGAGAAGACAGGGAAATAGGATATAGTGGCAAGAGACAGGTAGAATCCTAATGGTACAGAAACTTGCACTCTGGGATAATTAGTAATATCCACTAACATTCATGAGCTCGGAATGTGTCAGGTACTGAGTTAACCATACATTCTCTGGAAATGCTCACAGCACACAGCCCAATACAGCTGACACGAGTTTTGCCCCCACAGGTGGGACACTTGAAACTCAAGAGCCTAAGGCCACACAGCTAGAAAAACCTGAGGTAGCTTTCAAATCAACCCTTAAAAAAAAACTCAGGTGTGACCACTGTATTCGAGGACCCCTGCAGCCGCCACACCCTCACCTGCACCTGACACACGCGCGCTTGCACACGCGCACGCGCGCGCGCACACACACACACACACACACACACACACACACACACACACACACGGTCCCCCAAATAAGCAAGGGACAATGGGAAAACATGCTGTTTTGAGAAAAACCTTAGGGCCAGCTACATTGGTTTTACCTCAAGGAGGGGTAAGAGACAGGTGTCAGGAGGACTACCGAGACAAGAACAAAGGATTTAGCCATTTCATACTTCAGCTTCTAAAACCCAGCAGGGGAGGTTCCTCTGGTCACTTCCACCAAACTCGTGTTGCTAATGAAGTGTCAGCTGTGCATTCCCAAAGCCTTTCCTCGCCAGATTATCACAAGAAAGAAGCAAACACTGATAGTGAGATGGGGGCTGGGTAGCTGGAATTCGGACAGGAAATTCAGTCTCTGCTCTCAGCCCAGTCAGTCCCCTGCTGCCATCTCCCCAGGCCCCCAGGAAACGGTGGGCAAGGGCAGGGGCAGAAGACAAAAGAGGGAGACTTTTTATGTTAATAGGCCCAAAAGGAGACTTTTTGTTTGGTGGTTTTTCCTTGTTTTTAAGAATCTTGCTGTGGTGTTGACCAAGCTGGCCTGAACTCCGGGGCTCAAGTGAGCCTCTGGCCTCAGCTTCATGGGTAGCTGGGACTACAGGTGCATGCAAGTGTGCCCAACCAGTTTAATAAGCATCAGATCACATATGAGCCCCCTGAGCCCCAGACAGACCCTAGTGGAAAGCACATGCACCTCGGCGAGGTCAGGACGGCCTTGTGCCTCTTCCCAGAGGCACACCCACCAACCGCCCCCACCCCGGCCCCTGCCCCACACAGGACAGAACCACTCAGGGAAACTGACATTTGGTTTTATTGTGCCAAGGATATTACAGATGGTGGGTCTTGTCAACACCTGCAGGGCACGCATGCCCCATCTGCCAAGGCTGCTCTCACTCCCTACACTCACATCCTGAGTGGCGGCCATGATCCTGAAGCGCCCTCACCTCAAGATTCCAAAGAGACTAGTGGTGGTGGAAGCAAAAGGAATGCAGCAAGGTCAGGGTCTCATTGTCCAAAGCCATCTGACACCTGCCACCCCCC